TGTGGGTCGCTGAGCAAGAAGGTAGGGGATGGTAGAGAATTTCGGGCCCAAATGAATGGGAAGGTATGCTGACATGTCAGAAAGGCCTTCCAGTGTCAATGTACGCGACACTTCGGCATAACGCCCATTATGACACCAGTGTCATTTTTTGACCTTTGGTCACCCATTGCAATTCATTGACCACTCTGGCTGGGGCGATCTTGTTCAACTGTTGATTTTGGGGGGGCATTCCATTCGGATTACAGGCCCCCTCGAGGGTCCCGAGAGTTTTTATTGGCCACTGAATGGTCAAGACATTTGGAAAGCCCTAAAATGGGGTGTCTGGGAAGCGCAGTGTGCCAAGTGTCACAGACAAAAGCAGCGGATTTGCCGGTGTAAAAGGGGCTTTAAATGCTTAGATAAAATTAGATTTGGCATAAAACGCCAAAGGGGTGCTTTAAAGATGTGGGACAGTGCCTTAAAACCCTCAAAAAACGGTTTGAAATAGCCAAAACAATCCAGGAATCATTTAACGGCGTTTTTGACGATTCGACACCCTCAGAATGGAAGCGCAGTGCTGCCAAATATCACGTGAACAAAGCAGCGGCTTTGCCTTTTGTAAACTGCTTTAAAATGCTTAGCTAAGATTAAATATGCTCTAAAATGCTCAAGGGGTGCTTTAAAGGTGTGGGACAGTGCATTAAAACCGTTCTAAATAGCAAACACACGCTCCAGCAATGGGTGACATTTGGCAACCCCGCAGCTGGCATCTTATGGGTTTCAAATTGTCACAGAACGTAAACCTAATGTATAAATAAATAAATAAATCTATATGGTGCCAGAGCTGCACTGTCCTTAAAAACAGCTTTGTTTAAGAAAGTAAGCCCACCCAACCCCCACGCAGATTCGCACCTCCGTACTTCACTGCTTGCATGGTAGTTCAAACTTGGCCAAAAGGTCACATGAAACAGACAGCGAGAGAGAGAGAGCATCTTGAAGACAGACAGCAAAATATCTCTTTGAATTAACTACATCAAAGTAATATTAAATAAAGTAGCAGTTTGTTATTTATTTTTCAGGTTATTTGTTCGTAATAAGAGCTGTGAAAAATTGGTTTATTGTTGAAAGTGTTATTTTAATGGCAATTGTAATCATTTTGAACCATTTTGAAGTGTCACAGATGAGAGCTGCCAAGTGTGACTATATGACTATTAGCATTATAAGCTC